GCGCGTGTGCGTGTATATGGGGATGGGGTGACATGGGGGGAACCCAGCAGTGGGGTAGACACCAGGAACAGGCAGCAAGGGCACATGGGGAAGACCTCTACTGTGTTGCTTAAAGCCCTGCCTCCTATCCCCAACCCCCAGTGCCTGCCCTACTTATCCTCCCCACATCCTGCTCCCCTCACTGCTCACCTTCTGCAGCAGGGGGGGCAATAATGGGGCACAGGTAGCAGTGGAGCAGGCACAGACATGGTGGGGGGCAAGGGGCAGGGGACAGGTGGAAAGAGGACATATAGGGGCAAGTGGTGATGGGGAGAGTAAGTGACATGGGGGGAAGGAACTATAGGGGCAAGTGGCAGGGGTGATAGGCAGCAGGAGGCTGGCATGGGGAAGGGAGAAGCAGTGGGGGGCAGACAGGGAGGGTAAGAGGCTGGAGTTTGGCCCCTTGCACCCTGCTGCTATTTTCCCTTTCACAGTGGTGAGGGGACACATTTCAGATGACTCTCCATTAATTAGTTTCTGTACACGTAAAATTATAATAAAATTGTTATTTTTCACATATAGGATTATATCCTATATATCTACACTGGGTATCATGTTAAATTCAAAGTTGTCTTGGATTCAGGTAAATATGGCAGGGAATTATGGTTTTTAACACTGTGGATTCCTATTTCAAATCTCTCAGTTTATCTTGTGAATCATGTTTGCACACCTAACAGTGCCAACATTGCATGGCACCCTGTAGCACCCTTGAAAGGATTCCAGGACATTCCAGGGTGCCACAGCATCCTTGTTGTCTAGGCCCTCTATCTATATTTAGACATCCAAATAGAAGGGTGTAGATCAGGGGCCAGCAACCTGTGGCATGTGTGCCAGAGCATGGAATTTCACAGCTAACCCAGGCTCTGGGTAGCTGCTGCTGGTCACAGATCCTGAGCTGCTTACAGCAGGCAGCTGGGAGGGTACAAGCCCTGCTGTAAGCAGCTTGGGCTCTGTGGCAGGCAGCAGCTGCCCAGAGTCCAGGCTGGCTGTGGCAGGAAGCCGAGAGGCTGAAAACAGCTGCTCTGGGGTCCAGAGCCCTGCCCAGGCTCTGTGGTGGTGCAACCCTGGCCCCTTCTCCACCATCTGCCCAGAGGTGCACATGCATCCATTGCCAGCAGTGAGGATCGGGCCCCTCGCAGGTCCCCTGCTGTCTGCCTCTGGCATACCAAGTCAATGTATGGGTGGAGGTTCAGGTGCTTTTGGCATTCCGGCCAAAAACATTACCCACCCCTGCTGTAGGTATTCAGACTAGGCAAAAAAAATGACTTGTTTTATAAAGGAATAGTTTACTAGACTTAACTGGTTTTTAGCCTTAGCATACCACCATTGGAGTGCATCTGAAAATCAGGCCACTTTGTTACCTCAGTATTGATTAAAATATCTAGTTTAGGCAGCAAAGTTTGAAAAATTTCACCTAATTTAAAAAATGTTGGTATTTGTTACAGCTGTGCAACCTAATAAAGCAATGTTTGTAGTAAAAGGAAAGAACTTAGATTGCCTTCATCAGATGACCATCATCTGATGAAGTGTGCTTCAGCTACAGAAACTGATGTGGTTAAGATGAGAATCTACTCTGCTTTCTACGGTAATAGAAGGAAAGTTTTTGTTTTGTTTTCAATCCTCTTTTTAATAATTCCTAGCATTCTATTTGCCTTTTTTTGGCTGCTGCTGAACAATGGGCTGATGTTTTCGGAGAACTATCCATAATTCCAAGATCTTTTTTCTTGTGTAGTAACAGCTAATGTAGAGCCTATCATTTGCTTTTTTTTTTTTTTTTTGCACATAGATTATTTTTTCCCATATGTATCACTAAGAAATATCAACTTCCGTGCGCCACTTGTTGCCCATTCGGTCAATTTTAAAAGTTTCTCCTGCAGTCAGCTTTGTTCTTTACCACTCTAAATACTTTGGTGTTGTCCCTGGTCTTGGCCACCTTATTACTCAGCCTCCTTTCCCAAATGATTTATGAACATGTTAAACAGTACAGACCCTAGTACTGTTCTTTGGGTGACTTCACTGTTTACTTCCCTCCATTGCAAGAACTGGCCATTTAAATCTAACTTTGTTTCCTGGCCTGTGGCCAGTTACTGATACAGGCAGTCCTCAACTTACAATGTTTTGAGTTACAACCAACAGCACTTAAGACGTTTATAAATGGACACTCTGTTTCAACTTTCCGTTGTGGGTTTTGATTTTACAGTGCTGGATACAGCTGCATCCAGCTGGTAAGTCTGGTGTGGTGGAAGGGGTAGGGGAAGGGAATGGGTGTGGGGGGGCAGATGAAGACCCCCCGCAGTGAGGGAGGGGCAGGGGCTGGGGAAAATTGCTTGTCTGGCAGCTCCCACTGCTTGTCCTGAAGGGCATGGGGGGATGTGCCCCTGGGTCTGTGTGGGGCAGGGCTGGTGGGGCCAGCAGGTCCGGGGCTGTGCTGGGAGTGGATACCCCTGCTCCCAGTGCAGCCCAGTGCAGCCCTGGCTCTGTCCGCCCCGCCCTGCCCCACCCCACACAGATCTGGGGGCACACGCCCCCCCATGCTCTCCCAGACGAATAGCGGGAGCTGCCAGACAAGCAACTTGCCCCAGCCCCTTCCTCACCATGGGGGTCCTTGATCTACACCCCCAGACCTCTTCCCTTTCCCTTTCCACCACACCAGACTTACCAGCTGGATGCAGCTGTATCCAGCATTGGAAGGGAACCCATCCTCTATTTATAACATTATTCCTATGGGAAAATTGGCTATAAGCTACGACGTTTCAACTTAATATACCATTTTCAGGAACCAAGTGTGTCTTAAGTCTGAGGACTGCCTATATAAGAGTGGACCTTCCCTGTAATGGCCTGATTTTGTTAACAATCTTTGTTGCAGGACTTTGTCAAAGTCCAGGTACACAATATTGTTGAATCACCATGATCCACATATTTGTTGATGCTCTCAGAGAACTCTAGTAGATTGGTGAGGCATTACCTCCCTTTACAGAAGCCACGTTGATTCTTCCCCAGCAAGTTTTGTTTCTCTATGTAATGGGACAATTCTATTTTTAATATATCTTTTAAGAAATTGCCAGGAACAAGTTAAGCTTCTCAGTCCATGGCTTTCCTGGATCCCCTCTAGCACTCTGTTTAGAAATTGGGTGACCTTAGCTATCTTCCAGTCCTTAAGTACAGAGTCTGTTTGTAGTAATAGGTTACATACTAATGAATAGATCTGCAGTTCTGACTTTGAGCTTCTTTAGTGCTCTTGGGTAAATATAATCCAATCCTGATGGTTTGACACTGTTTAATTTATCAGTTTTCTTTATAGCCTTCTCTGTTGACACCTCAATTTGAGTTCTACTTAATTGGGACCTGGAAGTAGTGGCTCCAGACTGGAAATCTCCCCTAACATCTTCCATGGTGAAAACTGACGAAAAGAGCTGCTCTAGTGTCTCTGTAATGGCCTTAATCTCCTTGGGTGCTCCTTTTACTCCTGGTTTTGTCCTTTCTGTGGTACTTCTGAATCTCTGGCAGGCTTCCTACTTCTAATACATCTAAAAATATTATCATTATATTTTACAAAGGACAATATAAAGATACCTAGTGTTGTGTTTAACAGAGCGGGCTGCCAGACATAAAATGACAAAAGTCCTCTGTTTCTACCCAAAGTTGTAGAGGAGGAGCATGAAGTATGCAATACCCCTTCTCTTGGTGCAGGACACAAAGAGATCTTGGACTACAGTGCACCTTGTGGATCCTGCTGGGGCAAAAATCTCCAATCCAAGTGTATGAGGCATGAATGCAATTACAGTGAGGATGTGCATTTGGGCAAGGAGAGATTCCAGCTCCTGTTTAGCTCTACTTTCTACTCCTTGTTTATCACTTTAAACAGCCATGCAGATTATTTACTTAGCAAATCTATCTTGGAATGAGCTACCAGTAAAACACCAACAACCATCACCGCCACATGTCCCCCCAAGAATCTGTCCATGGATAGGAATCTACTCTGTCCATGAAAATGGTATCAAGAGATTTCATATTAAAGTTATCCCACTTACTTCCAAAGCAAGTTTGCTAGGTTTACTAAGTATCAACATTCCAACTTACTTGGGCCCATCCAGTTCAAAACTCCAGGTATAACACCACTGGCCAAAATTTCTTGAGACTTGAAATAACTGTCCTGGATTTTCTGAGATGTCATCTCAAGCCTCATGGTTCCTGGTCTATTGGGATCAGAGAGTTCCTACATATCTCTTCTAATGTGTCTTTCTCAAAGTAGAAATAAGATACGTATCAGCAGCTAGTGTTCTTCCAGATATGTTGTCTCTATATGTTTGCATCCTGCTCTCTTCTTCCTTAAGTCCACATACAGTATATGACTTTGTGGTTCATTATTGATATTTTTGAAGGTACAGGTTCACAATACACATCCTTGCTACGGTGAAAATTTAATGAGTATCATTCCACATAGGAACTCAGCAGGTTCTCAGAAAAAATATAGTCATGATTTTTAGTCTTAGGCAACTAAAACTATAAGAACTATAATTGTATGATAATCAGTCTTACAACAGCTTTGATTAGGGTTAATGGTTTGCTATGATAAATTGTAGGAAGAGTTATGGTCTGGTCATGGGAAATTACATTACAACCTAATGTAAATGTCCTTTCACATTGCAATAAAAAATTGATTAAAATCATTTAGTAATGTTGACTAATTTGACCCTCCTATTCTAGCTGTTGTTGTCAGTAACAGCAGTACAGGAATGCAGATGAAAGGGCTACTGTTATATTAACTTTGAAAGGCTTTTCAAACTTGGAAAAGCCTTCTAAGAAACTAAAGTAATAAAGAATGTATGCATTACATAAAACTGAACTTAATTATTTTAAATGCTGAGTATTGCAGTTGCAAACAAATTATTTTGGAATAATTAACGAAGATGAGAGACTTGTTTCCCATTTTCATGTTCCCTCTGTAATGTTTCACTTAGTCAGAGAAACGAATTGCAAGTAAAATTTCCATTAGACCTTCAAGAGCTTCACAAAAACATCTTGAAGTGCCAAATAGGAGAGAAGAGTCCGTTTTTTATGCCACAGACAAGCAGGCAAGTGCTGAAGAGGTTATGCCATCCATTGCTGAAGGTAACACGAAACTTTCTTATCTGCTCTGTAAGGCAGTGTAAGTATTCCTTAAGATTGGACTGTCAAACTTATTTGAGTTGGCAGGATGGATCTGGATTATGAGGCTTCTCCCCGTGGCTGGCAGACCTGCTGTCAGTGCAGCCAGCATGCGGGGTCAGTGCTTCTGCTGTTTGTTGCCCTGCTGCTGATTTGTATGCTGAGCAGTGATCAAAACCTAGAAATTCCCAGGTGGGTAACGGGGAGGGGCAGATTAACCCCCTGGGTGCTGCCTGCACTGGCATAGTGGCTCTGGGAGCCACAGTGAAAAACCCTGCAAACAGGATGACTCACCTCTGCAGGCTGGATGCAGCCTTCAGGTTTTGTTTGACACCCTTGTCTTAAAGGTTTAGGATATTCTGATATATTCCCTCAACCTCTTCTTTGAAACTTCCATTTTCAGTGAGGGCACAAAACATGATTACTTCAGAGTAATTTTCCCTGGTTTTTATTCCATAGTACAGAGTGTACAGTTGGTCAGCTCTCCCAAGCTTGCTGCTTATTGCAGTGCCTAACAAGTAGGTGGGAAGGGACTGGATTTTCATTAAGCAAACTTCTCTCCCAGGATGAAACTGGTGAGAGGGGAGCAGACAAATAATTGGTTCCATGGTGTAATTTACACTGATATAAGGCTGCTTTTTACTTTGTAAGAGGTAACCCCAAAGTAGAATGATTTATATTGATATGAGGCTCTGCAACATATCTGCTATACTTTTGCTATAAAGTAAGGTTGAGTACACACATTCAAATAACCTGGGAGAATTCTCTCAGATTTGTTCTCAAGGTAGAAAAACTTACCCAGAGCCATGTGTATGGATGTTCAAATGTTGAGACCCTGAAGAATAGAGAGCTTATAATGTTGACACTGTGCAGCCTACGGGGGCTTTCTTAATCTGCCTGGCAACAGATGGCAGCAGTGCATAGAGCAGCCCCGATTGGTTAGCCCAGACTGCCCATGGTCAGTCTGTGTTGTTAGCATGTACCAACATTCACTCTCCCAGGACAAACTCTCCTGGAAGTGATTTACCCCTCGTTGTTCTCAGGTAATTTTTTTCCTGGAGAAGCCATTTTTACTCTGGGAGAAAATGCCTGAAGTTTTATACATATAAGGTTTCTTTTGTGAGAGCAGCAACTCTCCCAGGAGAAATTGAATGTCTATATGAGGCCTAAGTTAGCTCCTTATTAAATGTGTGTCTACACCAAATTTTTATAAAGACTTAAATATTCATGAATCCAGAGAGTTGGAGAGTAAGAGAGACAAAGATAATAAGCTATGTGCAAAATAAATTTCAGCCTCCTTTGAATAAGGTCAACAGACCAGCTGCCTTTTCATGTTATAACATTTCATGCTTTTCATGAATTGATAGTTTTAGGGAAGATACTTAGTTTCAATAATTCTAAACATGGATCTATTGAACAGACACATTTGAAATGCATGTGAAGGTTTTGAAGACCCAGCTAGACAAAGCCTTGGCTGGGATACTATAGTTGGGGATGGTTCTGTTTTGAGAAGGGGGCTGGACTTTACATAACCTCCTGAGGTCCTTTTTAGCCCTAACTTTCTATGGTTATAGTTTATTCACAATCTAAAAAATAAAATTCTTCATTACATCACAGCACCAAGTATCTTCAAAGCTGATGAATCCAGGACAGAAGTTCAAGGGGCAGCAGAGATACAGGAAGACAGCAATATGAAAACAGAGATGCCCATTGATCAGGTGAATGCAAGGCAATTTTTTTGTGCTCTGATTAATTAATTATTAATACAAAATATACAAGCCATTTCAGATAGAGTGTACCACTTGACTGTATTTTGTCTGTATAGATTGTTAGGAATTAACATCTGTCTATCTAGTTGACAGATAAAAGGGAGAGAGGGTTGATTGATGACTTTGTGTCTGTGGACAAAAGCAGGCTTCTGTATAAGCTGTTGTAACTATTACACTAGAGAAAATGAGCAAGACTTGATTTAATTATAAGTCTGTAAAACTCTCAGCCCATGAACATAGAAACAAAATATATGGAGTACGGTCATATTGTATGCATGGCTGCTTGTGTACAGTATTTTCTTAATAATAAAACATAAAAGTGCTGAATGAATCGGTATTATAATTTACCAGTTCCATTTCTCCTGAATGGACCAGCTATCAGTACAGTTTTCTTGGCCCACGAGTTAATTCTGGAAAATATATTTGTGTCAAGCTATTGCAACATTTGGCATCAAAATGATATATAATCTGTTCCATTAAAAAGGAAAGAAAAATTATTCTCTGTAAACTCTCTGACACTTTTCAGTTCATACAAGACATTCAAGAATGCATTATTCTCTTCTGTTTTTGCTATTGCATTGCTAATTTTTTCAGTGAATCAAAAAGTTGCATGATATAATGAGTAAAAGTTGTCTTTAACCCTATAGAGTATCACAGAGTAGCATAAACTGAAGGCAACCAAATTAGATTCTTTCCTTTTCTACTTCAATATCATTTATCAGATTTTTAAATAGTCAACAAAGATAAGAAAAATGATAAAAATCAAGTTTATTCATGGACATGATAATCCTTAGTATGGTAACTTGGTTATGAACCACAAATTTAAATTACAGTGTATAAGCCATAAAATATTAATGGACCTGTGCTCTTAGACATAAGAGAAATAGCCTTTAAATTGGTTTAATTGTCTATTCAGGCATTCTAAGCTTTTTATATGCTCCACTTGCTATCTCATTCAGTAAGTTAGAATAGTTGTCAGTGAAGCTGCTTCCGACACCTCAGCAGAGGTATCTTCCAAAGTGCCTTTCAGTCTGTGAATGACTCTGGATCTGTTAGGCCCTAAGAAAAGGAGGCTTAGGTCATTGCTTAGTTGCCTAGATGCAATGTGGGAACTTGCTGGAATTCTGTGGTCTCTGATTGAAATTCCCAGTGAGCGTGTGCCAAAGTAGTATATTTATTGTTTGTCATGTGACTGAGTCTCTGTTGCTGGAAATGATTGTTATTCCATTTTTTTTGACTTTTTTTCTAACTTACACACCCAGGAAAGGAGAGGGTTGAAAGTGGCATGGGGGCAGAGCTCTAGCCCAGCATCACACTGAATTACCAGAAATTGTCAGTACTTATACACAGTTACTTTGTGACGTAACCATACCAACAAATGTACATTGCTATAGGAAGGCAGACTTTCTCAGAAGCCTTTTAAACAATATTACACACAGTATTATAGACAGTTGTGTTATAAATAATAAGCAGGGATCCAGGTTTTTTCTGTTTAAACAATCTCAAATCACTGATAAAAAAAATCATCAAAAGCCTTCGATCTGCATTTTTCCCTGATTAAAAGGAAAAGCCGCTGTATATATAGGTAGTAGTAGTACACAATGCTTTATTGATATATTTCCATTTTAAAGCAACTTGGAATCCTATCAGTGCCTCAAGCCATTATAAAAAAATGAATTCAAAATACCTATTATTTTGGTGTTTGATTTTTTCGGTTTTTTTATCATGGAAAATCAGAGTTCCTCCTGCCCCTTTGCTCACCAGGATGTGGGTCTAGCTGCAGCTGTCCCCCCAGCTGCTTTGTAGTGCTGAGCAGCCTTGATATGCTGTTGCCCTGCTCCTACCCATGTGGTTGCTCTTTACTTCCAAGCCACAGCCCGCCCCCCAGCCCTGTTGGTGCCTGTCACTCCTGATTTGCAGTCCCCTGCTCCCTCCCTTGTCATCCCAGTGCCCCTCACTCCCAGTCCACAACCCTCTGTCCCTGCTGGTGCACCTTGCTCCCAACCTGCAGCCCTCTGGCCATGACAATGCCCTTCACTCCTGAACCACAGTCCCCTGCCCCCTCCAGCCTATGTTGGTGCCTCTCACTCCTGACCTGCAGCCCCCTGCTCCCCACAGCCCTGCCACAGGGGGCCCCCAGATGCCTCCCACCCTGCACAGACTCATAGGATGGTGGTCTGAGGGGACACAACAGGGATGGGCTCCACTGTCCAGTGCATGCAGTATACTTCATGTGGAAGCACAGAGAGCAACTGGGGCACTGCATGCTGCCCCGTGCCGCTGACTGGGGCTGGGGCTGCAGCGTGGCAGGGAGGACCAGTGCTGTGCTCCACAGCAGCAGTGTGAAGCAGAGTGCAGCTCTGGCCCAGACCATGCTGCAAACAGCAGGAGGTGGGCAAGGAGCTCCAGGTGGTTTCTGTCCCACCTGGGCTGGAATGTGGTGGCTCCAGCTTGTGTGGGCTGGGGCTCCTGTGCCATGCTAGGCAGCCTGGCCATGGTCCCCCAGCCCTTCCTCCCTGGCAGTCTCTTTCAGCTGCCCCACCCCTGCCCCTGAGAGCACAGGTACCAGCCCCTGGCACTGCCGGCCTGGCTACGTAGCTCCCTGCCACCCCCAAAGGACTTCCCCACCCCCTTTCCTTGCTGAAGAGGCAGGCACCTCTGGTGCAGGCCCCGCTGGCAACAGTGCAGAGCCGCACTCCCTCAGAACCCCCAGCCCTGCCGTGTGCCTGGACACCTTCCCCCTGCACCAGCAGGCACCCACCCCTGCAGTCCTGCCCCACACACACACACACACACACACACACGTTTCCAAGCCCTGGTCCTCTAACCCCCCTGCATAGACTTGCCTGTATCTGGTTGCCAGGGCTGCTTGCACCACCCTGCCTGGCTGTATGCCAGCTGTGTGTATGCGTGAATGCCAGAGATGTGGGTTTTCCGGAAAATTTTTAACTGGAAAATTTTCCATTGCCCTAAATAGAGCGTGATCTAATTTAGCATGTTTATTTGACTTGTATTTAGTAAACACAACTAAATAAGTACCTCACGTTAATTTTTTGTCCCAATAGCGACAAGTATTTGAACTCAAATATTTGATTAGGAAAAAAAATAAATACAGCACACTTAATGAGGTTTAAATATTATATTCAAACAAATTCAAAGCTTTATGTGGAAATAAATTATTTTTATTGGCATACTTGTAAAAATGTAAAGACAATACACAATAGCATGTACTTCCCTTACATTGTTTGTTTAAATTTAAGAAAAATACTGAAGGCACTGAAAACAGTTGACACTAATTTTAGCACACCCAAAGAATGATATGCCTGGTTGTCCACTCATCTACATCAACAAAGTTGAACTCTCTTCCACTGAGGTCATTGCGGCACCTCCAGTTTCACTGTCACTGTCTGTAGAATCATTTGCACTCATTAGTTCCATTTCAGAATCAGATTGAGGCAAATCTGATTCAGAACTACTTGAACCACATTCTCTTTTGCTAAAGGGTGGTTTTACCAATGAGTCTATGGGCAAGGGCAACATCATCATACTACATCTTCTTCATTATTTGTGCTTCTGACTGATTCTCCAGAAGCAAGAGATTTTGAGAAATAGAAACAAGCTTAGCAGTGCTTTTATTTGTTAGTCTATTCCACCTTTTTGTCTTGATTGAGCTGAAAGCCTTCCAGTTCCATTCACAAGAAGCTGCAGTTGGTGGAATGCTTAGAATCCTTAGAGCAATCCTGGACAACAGTCGGGTGTTAAATATCCTTTCCACCATGTGAGAAGAGACATTCTCTGCTGTCCACCAAATGATGTCTTTGCTTCAAATTTTTTCTTTTGCATGGTACTCAGCAATGTCTGTCATCACGGCTATTTTGTTGATGCTGGGGACATTCTTAGCTACTTCCATAATTGTACTGAGAGCAGTAGGTAATTCGTCTTCTGATAAATGTTGTCCTCTGTGTTGAGGATCCAAAAGGTTTGCTGCCAGATGAACTGGACAAGAGCAAAAAAACCTCAAATCTCTTGGTAAACGTTTGTTTTACTTCTGCTACTTCTTCTTTGGATAGAAGTGAAGAAGGCAAAAGCTCAATTAGATTTTCATTCGGTTGTCTGAATATCTCTGGAATATTTGAAAGACTTGCTGTATCTCCTTCAAGTTTCTTGATTAGCCACTGAAACTGGTAGTAGCCAATTGAATGCTCCTTGAACTCGAACCCAGAACACATTGTTGTCGAGAATCTGCTTCCGAATGTTCATGGGAATAAGCTGGGAAACCGTGTCATCTATTGAAACACACTACGAACAGTTCTTTGTGCACAGCAAACCATGTAAACACTTTGTAACCGAGCCCATCTGGTTTCTCCTAGTAATAAAAGTGCACTTTCCTTCCCCTGCTTCTCTTTCTGTAATTTCTTCAGTGTCTGATTAGCAACACGACGATTGTTGAATACTTTCACAATTGTTTTGTAGTTTGCCAATATTGTCTTCATATTGCCAATATTGTATTTGCACTATGTCCTTTGCCAGAAGATTCAACCCATGAGCCAGACAGCCAAATACTATTAAATGAGGATACTTTGCCTTCAATGTTTGCCATGCAGCTTTCACATACTCTCATTATCAGTTACAAGGGCTGGTACTCTGGAGGGACCTGCAATTTCAATCTCTTCACTCAGTAATTTGGCTATGTATTCACCTGTATGATGAGAAGATTTGGTAGCAGTTGCTTTCAGGAATTTTGATTCAGGTGTTGCTAACATAATGTTCACTAAAGGATTTCCTTGTATATCAGTCCATCCATCTGACATCAGAGTCAGTGATTCTGCTTGACCAATCCTTTGAATAACCCTTGTTTGAATCCTGTCATGCTCTCTATCCAAGAGAGAATGTAATAAGAGATAACTTGACAGTAATTTATATGATGGACGAATTAGTTTGTAATTTTC